AAATACAAAATTAGCTGGGCGTTGTGGCGTGCGCCTGTAGTCTCAGCTACTCAGGAGGCTGAGGCAGGAGAATTGCCTGAACCAGGGAGGCAGAGGTTGCAGTGAGCCGAGATCGCACCACTGCACTCCAGCCTGGCACCTGGTGACAGAGAGAGACTCTGTCTCAAAAAAAAAAAAAAGTATATAGTTATAAGGGAAGTTATAGCCCTAAGAGCACAAGTTAAAAAATAAAAAATATTGAAGTTAGGGTTGAATTCAAGAGGCAGGAAAAAAAAGACAAACAGTAGAAGAAAGAGAATAACCAAAAGTAGTAGAAGAAAGGAAATATTAAAGCTTGCTCACCAAAAACTAGTTTTTTAAAAAGACGAATAAAATATAAGTTTTTTAATATATTTATTTTTTCTCCCCCTCTGCCACTTCTTTCCTTTGACACAGGGTCTTAGTGTCTCAAAGACAGGCTGAAGCACAGTGGTGTGATCAGAGATCACTGCAGCCTCAAACTCATGGCTCAAGTTATTTACCCACCTCAGCCTCCCCAGGAGTTGGAATATAGATGCATGCCACCATGTCCAACTAATTTTCACATTTTTTGTAGAAATAAGGTCTCACTATGTTGCCCAGGCTCATCTTGAACTCCTGATCTCAAGTAATCCTCCTGCCTTAGCCTCCCAACACACTAGAAGTATAGGTGTGAGTTACTGTGCCCAGCCTAAAAAATATATTTAAATAATAAAATACACAAACCTCAGGCAAGGCTGATCAAGAAAGAGAGGTAAGACATAAATAGATGTCTTAGAAATAAAAAGGGAGCCAAGCCCAGTGGTTCACTCCTGTAATCCCAAGATTTTGGTAGGCCAAGGCGGGAGGATCACTTAACGTCAGGAGTTCAAGACCAGCCTGGTCAACATGGTGAAACTTCATCTCTATTAAAAATATAAAAGTTAGCCAGGCATGGTGGCAGAGGCCTGTAATCCCAGGTACTCAAGAGGCTGAGGTTGCAGTGAGCTGAGATTGTACCACAGCACTCTACCCTGGACAACAGAGTGAGACTCTGTCTAAAAAAAAAAAAGAAGTGAAAGGGAGATATTAATATAGAGATACAACAAATACTGATAACATTTTAATACTATGAGAAAGAATATTTGTGCCAAAAACTTTGAAAGCTGTCGATTTTTATAAAATGTTTCATTTTATAAAACAAATATAAATCACCAAAATGATTCAAGAAAAAAATAAAACCAGAATAGTCAATAATTACTAAAGAAACTGAAGCTGCAGTTTTAAAAGTTTCTCTTATGCCTGAAAGGCATCAGGCCTACATAATTTTATAGGCAACCTTTCCCAAACCTTAAGGAATAGATAATTCTTCTTACACAAATTGTTCCAAAGAACAAAAACACACAGAAACCTACCAAATTCATTTTAGGAGTCTATCTTAGCTCCAATACCTGAATTGAGTAACAATAAAAAAAACTGTAGGCCAATATCACTTACGATATATTCATAAACCTAAATGATTTAAAATTTTAAAGTAACAACTGTTCAGAAATCTAATAATGTATATAAAAATAATATAGCAAAACTGTAACAAAATCCCTAGAGCTCCACATATCCATTCTTTGTTTTTAGGCATGAAAACCCTGATTCTCAGCTATGTAGTTCACACCCTCCACATTGCTTCCCAGCTATGACTATACTTCACAGCCTCCCTTGCAGCTAGGTGCCACCATGTGATGAGATTTTAGCCAATGTGATGAAAGTGGTTGCATGTGACTTTCAGAAAGTCTTTTTAAAAAGGAAGGACTGCATCCCTCTTCCTCTTTACTGTTTCCCACTGCTCAGAATGCAGACATGACTGGAGGAGCTTGAACTTCAGCTCCTTGGACAAAAAGTGACATACAAAATACAAGGAGCCTGGAGTCCTGACACTGCACTCCCTACATCTAAGCTGGCTTTTTTTTTTTTAAGTGAGAGAGAAGTACACTTGTTTAAGACACTACTGAGGCCCTGTGACTCACGGCCAAGTTTAATCCAGACTGACAATGTAAGCAAGGTTTATCCCAGGAATGAAAGATTGGAAAATCCATTCATATAATTCACCATGCTACACGTGGAAAGAGAAAAATCTATGATCATCTAAATAGATTCTGAGAAAGCATTCAAAAACTTACACTCATATTTTCTATTTTTAAAAATAAGATTCTTAGCCAACTAGGAATAGAAAGGAATTTCCTTAATCTGACAAACGGTATCCATCAAAATTTGTAGCAAACATCATCTTGAGAAGCATAGCCACTAAAGTCAATACCACTCAAGAGAGAACAGGAGTCCTATTAAATGGAGTATTACAAGAAAAATAAGTGAAAAATACAGATTTAAAAGAAATATCTTCATGTGCAGAAAAATAACTGACTATATAGGAAGCCCATCATGATTTTCAGAAAACCTATAAGACCTAGTACAAGAGACCTAATTCAGCAGCAACATTACTGAATATAAAATCAACATGCGAAACCTAACAGTGTTCCCACACACTAGCAGTGCCTAGTTATAAAATACAACAGAAGAAAAACATCCCAATCACAATAGCCACCATACTGCAAAACATAATCACCTTTCTTCCAGATCATGAAAAATCCTCCTCACTAGCCTTCTCATTTCCACTATTGCTTTCCTCAAATTCATTCTCCACTCAGCAGCTTGTGATCTTTCATGAACATAAGTTCCATCATGTTGCACTCCTTCTTTAACCTTTTCATGGCTACTCATTACTCATAATTAGATTCCAATTCCTTATCATGTCTATGCTCTGCATAACCTGCCCCCTGCCTGTTCTCCAATTAACTCCCTCCCCACTCCCCTGCCCCACTCTACACCAGCCACATGGACCTTCTTTCAGTTCCCGATACATGTCAAACTCTTTCCTGCCCCAGCACCTCCACATACGCTATTCCCTCTCCCTAAAATGCTTTTCCCTCCAATCATCATCTGAGAGTTCAGAGTCAATCATCAAGTCTCAGCTTAAAAGTCACCTGCTTAGTCTAAATAACATCCCTTTTCTCTTATCTCCTTTTTTCTTTTATGTTCCCACATAATGTACAATAAAATCCCACTACCTGTTATATCATAATGTATAGTCTATTTTTATTCAAGGATTACTTATTCATTGCCTTGATTTCCCTCTAGACCATAACTTCTGTGAGGGCAGGAGTCACATCTTTGATGTTTCCTGAAGCATTTAACACAGTGCATAGGAGCTATTACACAACATGTGCTTAGTAAGTATCTGATGAATGAATCAATCAATCAATGAATGACAAGAGTTTGCTGATTTAGCAGAAGTCTCAGCTAGAAGACCTGCAGCACTCTTCCCAGGATTTAAGGGTTATTAGGAAGAATGGGGGAACCCCCACTCCACAGCCCTCTCTAGACAAGGAAGCAAAAAGCCTCTAAAGGGAGTGAGTGGGCTTGGTGGTCCATGCGATTGCACTAAGATTGAGGGTGGGTAGGATTCAGAACATAAAGTTGCATCCATCCATGACTCTTATCCCATCTCTCAATAATTCAAGTCATAGATTTGCAAATTGAGTTTGCCACAGAATGCTATTTTTCTGTAATCTTTGTGGCACAGTAAAAGTTTGAAGGACAGCAGCTTTAGAAGTCATGCAAGCAAGCAGGGCAGCATATGCCACCCTCAATGGAGGCATTTACAGCCGCAGGGGCATACAGAACTTCAGGGAGGCAAAGCAGAAGTCGGGAAAATTGGTGAATCCCACAGGAACACCAAAAAGACTTGATCAGGTGCACACACAAGACATCCCAAGGGCATTCCAGAAATAGCTGGGGAAATTTAGGGGAAGGACAGCAACTGGGAACGGAGCTGCGAGCAACGGCTGCTAGTGGGACACTAGTTTTTTGTGTTTGGGGTTTTTTTGAGACAGTCTCACTTAGTCACCCAGGCTGGAGTGCAGTGGTGCAATATCAGCTCGCTACAACCTCCGGCTCCTGATTTCAACCAGTTCTCGTGCCTCAGCCTCCTGAGCAGCTGAGACTACAGGAGCACACCACCATATCCAGCTCATTTTTGTATTTTTAGTAGAGATGGGTTTCTCCATGTTGGCCAGGCTGATCTCGAACTCCTGGCCTCAAGTGATCCACCCACCCTGGCCTCCCAAAATGTTGAGATTACAGGCATGAGCCACCACACCTGGCCTGGGACACTAGTTTTATTCTCCAATCGTATGGCTTAGGCAGCTCATATGGCTTAGGCAGCTCAGATTACCACAAAACCATTAAGGCAAGCTCCCAGACACCATATCTCTAATGACTGGATGGCGCTGCCACACGGTCATTAGAGAAAGCATCTCCCCACAGGCACCAAACAACACAGAGGCCTCTTTCCGGTATCCCCTCCAGAGCTGGCAATGCTAATTCTTCAGTGAAAATTAAGGAGTCAATATTTTCTGAGGCCATCTAATGCCAGAATAGTGGCTGCTGGTAATTCTACTATCTCGGGTATGCCACAGACTCAGGCATGTAATAGGTACCCCCAACTGGTTAAATGCTTGTGTGAGCCAAGTGAGGAGGAGTGTTGTATCTGCCAGGTGCCCCTGAGCGGCAATCTTCCTGTTTGTTTCTTTTTGAGCTCGCATACTTGTACACCACAGGATGTAATGAGGGATTGGCAGATCCTGTCATCCCCTGGAAGAAACAATTGTTCCTGCTCAGCACCTACATGTAACCTTTCCCAGCCTCTCCTTCCCTGCAACCGCTGTGTATCTCCCGTCTGCCTCTGAGCACCTGGGGTGGGCATGGGCACAGGAACTCTAGGTTTGATGACTCCTCTGTGGACAGCCTCTGTTGATGCTCCAACCGCTCCAAAAAGGCTTGGTCTCACCTCCAGGAAAAGAGGATGTGCAGGAACTCTGGGCTAGTGAGGACACTATGCAGCCCTCTCTCCTCCTGTCCCCGAACGAAGCCTGGGTCCCACCGTGACCTACCTCTTGTCCTCTTCCACCTGCACGCCGATGGAGTGGAACTCCCTCCGGCTCCTGTTCTCGGTGTCTGAGTCTGAGATCGTCTCCACCTGGTGGCAGGGTGGAGGAGTCAGTGGCTGTGGCGCGCCAAGGTGAAAGCCCTTCCCGGGGAGAACGGCTAGCAATGGCTGCGCCCCAAGCCAGTTGGCAGGTCCTGCAAAGACCATCTGCCTGAACAAGATGAGAGACCCAGGCGGTCGGCCACAGGCCTCAAAGTGGCAACCACTGGTCTCCAGCCCTCCATTAGCCAGGAGGGGCGATGGTGCCAGGACAGGGACAAAGGAGTGGGCGAGGGCTGGCTGGAACATCCCCGTCGATGTCCAGGCACGAAGTCCACTTGCAGCTTAGGGCAAGCCACGAAGAAGGTCGATATATCCAGAAGGCCGCTTCCAGCCCCTCACTCCAGCCCAATCAGCCAGGTCAGAGCCCTCGTGGGCGCTTCCCGGTTCCATACCTGCACCCCAATGGACGGCCGCCACTTCCGCTGCCGCGCCAGGCTCCGCAGCTCCTCCCTGCCAGGGATGGTCTTGATGATGAGTGTGGGGGGCTTGGGGCTGGCCCGGGGCGGCACCGGCGCCAACTCCAGGGTGCGCGCGCCCATGGCGGGGCCGTCCAGGCCGTCGGCGGAGCTGCAGCGCCGGGCAGGGCCCTCGGCCGCCGTGAAGCTCTCTTGCGCGGAGTCGGTGCTGCTCTGGGCGGTGATGGAGATGCGGGGCGGGGCCTGGCTTCCCGGCGGGATGGGGGGCGGGGCCTTTCTGAAGTTGAAGGCTGCGGCGAGCAGGCACGGAGACGCAGCGCGTGAGGCTCGCGGCCCAGCTGGGGTCTCGGGTCCGAGCCCGACTCCCACCCCTAAGCGGCCCTACGGGACCCTGCAGGGGCGCCTACTCCACGTAGGGCTGCATACACGCCAGGGGACGCTCTCAGCGCCACCCGAGCCCGGGAGGGAGCGATCTGCTCAGGGTCACAGCACTGTCGAGGGGATGGCCAGGACCCAGACCCAGCGCGCTCTCCAGCCTAGGGCGGGGCCAGGGGCAGGGAGGTTGTACTCACAGGAGCCGGGCCTCCCTGAGACAGCAGCAGGGGCAGCGAGGAGGGGCAGGCAGTCGTCGTCTTGAGAGCAGCCGGCCTGGATGGCCCGGAGGTAGCTGTGGCTCCGCATGCGGAAACAGCCGGGCAGGTCCAGGGCGTCCACGGCCTGGGACTCCAGCTCCCCAAACACGGACCCGCACACGGCCTCCAGCTGCTGGTTCAACTCATCGCTGAGCTGGGGGGAAGGGGGTCGGGAGGACAGTTACAAGGTGCCGGGAGGGAGTAGAAGTCCCTGGGGTACTCTGCCTTAGGAAGACCCCTGTATTTACAGCGGCTGTGGGCAACTCTTCCACATTTGAACTACAAGAAACCCTAACTCTTTGCAAAAAAAGATGGGGGGCACCTCTGCCCCATTCTGCTCCCCAGGCTTGTCTTGGGGCCCATTCTTTCCTCTAAATACCCCACCCCCACCTCTACCCCACCTGTGCCTCTTCCAGGTGTCTGTCTGGCTGCACCCCAGGCTGCAGACCACCATGTTTTTCTTTCCTCGCCACCTAGTCCCAGCCCCTGACGTTTCTCTCACCTGACCCCAACAGAGAGGACCAGGGATGTGGCATACACCCTCCTGCCCAGTATGGGGGAAGGGACTGCATGGAGGACACCTTTTATTTTATTATTTATAATCCATTACCTTACAAAATTGATCGAAAGCAGCCCATATATATACCAAGTGTCAGGATAGAAACTAATGGGTAAGTGATGGAGCAAGGTTATTAATCTATCAGTGTCCCAAGCCTTTCCCCACCTTCTGCCCACTCACTCTGGCCCTGGCTTAACCAGTGGGTTCCTTCTCTACCTTTCCCCTCTGAGGAAAGCTTAGCCATTGCTGGATGAAGTTCTTGGTTTTGTGTTTGGTATTTTGGTCGTGCAGAATCCATGGTGTTAAAAGAAAAAAATAAGTTAAAGTATGAAAAGAAGCAAAACAAAAATTTTGTTCAAGGAACTGTGCTGCACACCACCACACTAAGACTAAATATACCATAGAGGTTGCAGCTTCATTCACATTACGTGAGAAAACTGGTGCAAAGTAAAGGTAGGAAAAGGTGCCACCAGAGGTAAGTGCTACACTCAGAACACAGGTGACAAAGTCCTGACATTTCTCAAGATGGGTACATATGTAACTCTGAGCTTCCAAGCAGGCAAAGCATCAGGGAGTATAGCCTCAGAGTTGCCTGCATGGTCTACAAGTGAGATCCCACCTAGATTTAAGTGCTGGCTATACCACTTCTTTTTTTTTTTTTTTTTTTTTTTTTTTTTTTTTTTTTTTTTCAGATGGACTCTCTCTCTGTCACCCCAGCTGGAGTACAGTGGCGCAATCTGAATTCACTGAAACCTCTGCCTCCCAGGTTCAAGCAATTCTCCTCCCTCAGCCTCCTGAGTAGCTGGGATTACAGGCACATGCCGTCATGCCCAGCTAATTTTTTGTATTTTTAGTAGGGACAGGGTTTCACCATATTGGCCATCCAGGATGGTCTTGACCTCCTGACCTAATGATTCACCTACCTCGGCCTTCCAAAGTGCTGGGATTACAGGCGTGAGCCACTGCGCCCAGCCAGCTATACGACTTCCTAGCAGAATGGCCTGGGAAAGTTAAAGTTTCAGGGCCTCAGTTTGCTTGCCTGTCAAATGGAAATGATGATAGTACCATCTTCATAGGGCTATTGAGGGGACTCAAAGAAAAACATGTGAGGCTTTTGGTACAGATACTGGCACCCAGCAAGCCCTCAGTTAGTGGCATGCAAAGGTCTCAGGGCCTACCTGGTAAACACAGGCCAGATACCCATGAGAACCATAACAATTCCTGCCCCTGAGACTAAGAGACCATTGTCCCCTGTGGATGATTATATAGAGTCCATTGGATGAAGTCATGGACAAGGTCCTCGACAGCATCCCATGGCAAACGTAACAGCAAGTATCAAATGGCTGCATCCTGTGATATCTCCCAGGGAAGATTCACAACATTATATTTATGTGCAGTCAACAGAGGCTCAACAGTGGCCTGATCCATGTGTAAACTGCAGTTCAATGTTTCCATAATTCAGTCTCTAAAGCATAACATGATTTCACTGGATTCTGCTTCAAATAGAGCCATTTCTATTCCAATCTATTAATGGGCAAACAAGACCCAGAGAGGGCAGATGAACTGTCTAAGAATGCCCAGCTGGTAGGTGATAAAACTGAAATTAAGTGTCATGCTTCCTGGCTCCCACGTAAGGCTGATTGAGCAACAGAATCTCCTGGGGAGCTTGCAAAACCTACATTAACTCAGGCCCCACCCTAAAGATCTGAACCCAGGGTTAACAAAATACCTCTCTTGCTTTAACTGCTTAGAAGCTCAAAGCCAAATTTGCTGGAGACTTAGATTCAGTGGTTCCAATGTAGGCCCAGTAATTAAAAAGGTTTGCCTGGACTTTTTCAAGCTTTTTCTAAAGGAGCTTCATTACAAGTATATGGAAATCACAGGCCATGGAATAATCAATCTGAGATCCTGTAGAGGTTAAGTTCTCTCATATTTGAGGTCACAAGTCACACCTGTGGCACAGTTGTGGCTTTCACCATGATGCTCTGTCATCTACCACTCAGCTTTTCTGTCTGCATTTCTGGGGCACCAAGGACAACAGTTGCCAGTGTATTTCCTAAAACATAGGAACTGAACTATCTCCTGCTATTTATGGTCTAGGCTCAAGACACTCCCCAACTAGAGCAAATACAGCCCAGAGTATCCCTCTTGGAGCACAGGGGAGCTAATCTAACCCTAGCAGAAAGCACATTGGTCTCCAGTATGGGCACCAGGGATGAAAGGAATCACTCTGTCATATATTTCTGTCTAGTCCTCTTCTGTGTGTAAAGCACTAGACATAATATCTGGCATATAGTAGATGCTCAATAAACTTTAGCTACTATTATTAGCAACAAGAGGCTCTCAAATCACAGCAACAATACCACTCAGAATAAGAAGTGCCTCTTTCCCTGGGGTTCCGAAGCTCTTGAAATCCCACCCACAGGCTATACTCACTACCAATTCTATCCAAGGCAGACAAAAGAGGGTGAACAACTCCCTCAGGTCATACACCTGCCAGCTGAGCTGGCCAAGAGGAGCATCTGAAGTTCCAGCAGGAGACCAGGACACAAGGCAAACAGACTCAGAGAGACTCCCAGAGAAACATTGCACCCAAGTTGATCTTTACTATCTTACAATTATAAAACTGTAACAGTGTGCTGTGAATGCTCCTTCTTGCACTGACTTCCACCCTACTTCCCCTAACACCCACTTACAGGAAAGTCAAAGTCAAAGAATCTTCTTGGGTTGAGATCCTTAGCCTTTTTCCAAAGCAGACTGAGAATCAATAGCCATTTCCAAGCTCACGAAATATTTAAAGTAAAAATGTTTTGTGTCTATTTGAAAATTGTCCAGACTAGAGTTGATGGGTCCAACAGGGGGCCAGGCAACATCCTGTGTACTTTATATGTGTTATTTAGTTTAGATAACCTTTAGAAAACTCTCCTATTTCAAAACATTGGATAAAATATAACAAATGTTGCTTTATATGCATAGCTGAGCTCACAAGAAAGCTAGATAAGTCCCCAGGGGACAAAAGCAAAGAGGAGACTGGAAAATCAGAATATTAACTGTGTGAGCCAATGCTGCAAACAGCCCAGTGGAGGCAGGAGGTGGGGGCAGGAGCTGTTGGTGTCAGTGTTTTGGTAAAGGCTTAGGTTTTAATACCCACTTGGGCACAGGAGGAAGGCTTTAGGCCCACATGGAGCATGGAATTGGAAACGAGAACCTGCATAAAGTTAGGAAAAGTGAAACCTTTGATGAAAACGTAGACTAGAATAAAAAAATTAGTCTTCACCACAGGCTGATGACAGGAAAGCTAGTCTGAAATACAAGGAGGCAGGAAGGGAAAAGAGGCAAATCCCCTAAGAATCTGTACCTACAAGCTGGTCCTCACACAGACAGATACTGTGTATCTGCATGAACCTTCATGGGCCACACCCCCAAAATTAAAAATTAACATAAAATAGTCCCAAATCAGGGATATTCTAACAGAAGCAATTGCAAAATATTTCCTGGGGAACTCACTCCTAATTCAAGCTGCTCATGCTTCCCATAGATAAAATTCCATTGAAGATGAGTGTAGTACGTGGTAGACGGCCTCTGACATAGCTCCTAATGATCTCCATCTCCTGGAATTTACACCCTTGAGTAATTTCTTTCTCATGAGTGTGGACTGGACTTACTGACCCACCTATAATGAATAGAATATGGCAGATACAATGGGATATCACTTCTGAGATTAGGTTACAAACAAACCATAGCTTCCATCTTAGACACCTTTTCCTACTCTTTCTCTTAGAGCCTTTGCTCTGGGGGAGGCAGGCTGCTATGTTGTCAGTAGTCCTATAGTGAGTCCCACATAGAAGAAATTGATGTCCCCAGTCAGTAGCCAGCAAGAATTTGTGGCCTGCCAACAGCCGTCTGAGTGCGAGCGGAAGCAGATCTTCTCCCAGATAAGCCTTGAGATGCTGCAGCTTTGGCTAACACCTTGATCACAACTTTGTGAGACACTTGACCCACTGGCATCCAGCCAAGCTGCTCTCAGATTCCTGACCCACAGAAACTGTGAGATAATAAATATTTGTTGTTTAAAGACACTACATTTGGGGATAATTTATATAGCAATAGAAAATACAAATTGTGATATAAACAAAAACTAAACTTTTATTGAGTTAAGCCATTGAGAATTCAAGATTTCTCTGTTATAGTAGCTAGTGTTACTTTAGCTAAAACAAAATAACTTAAATGATGTTTAAAAGTTCTAAGCTTAAAAGATAAAACTCAAAACATAAGAAGAAAATAAGACTCCAAAGCAGGATACAATTGTCAAAACCACCATTTTATCCCTCTGAAAATCAATCAAAGGCATACAACAAATAAACATGAATTTATAAAAATTACTGAACTTTGGGTAAGAACAGCATGACTCTATAGTATCCTCACCTGAGGCTGCCTTCATTCACCAAGCCCCCAGCACTATCAGTTGCAATACTTCAACAAAGGTGATGCAGCCTATGAAAAATCAGCTGCTTCACTGTCTCTGCCAGAGGACTTCACTTAATTTGAGGCATTGTCAGTTATACTATCAAGAACAGGGAAGGCTAGTAGCACTG